CACCTTCCCGAAACTACTCAAGATGGCAAGGGTTACACCACTACATAAAGGTGGTGACCCTACAGACTTAAACAACTATAGGCCAATATCTAACTTACCATTGCTATCCAAAATCTTTGAGAAACTCGTGCACAGGAGACTGTATTCATTTATAACGGCTCAAAACATACTCAACCCCTGCCAATTTGGATTCAGGAAAAATAAAAGCACTAACGATGCAATCATAAAAATGCTAGATCTGCTTTACACAGCATTGGAAAATAAGGAATATCCACTAGGAATTTTTATTGACCTAAGAAAAGCTTTTGACACAGTAGACCACGACATCCTACTCCACAAACTTGATCATTACGGTATAAGAGGCCATGCGCTTGCTTATTTCAAATCTTACATTACTAATAGGTATCAGTATGTCACCATTAAAGACACAGCATCAGCAACATGGCCACTTGATACTGGAGTTCCGCAGGGAAGTGTCCTTGGTCCCCTGCTCTTCCTCATATACATCAATGACCTTCCAAACGTATCCCAACACCTGAAACCCATTCTCTTTGCTGATGACACGACTTATGTCATCTCTCACCCTAATCTTGCCACCCTCAACACCATTGTTAATGAGGAGCTGATCAAAATATCGACTTGGATGACAGCCAATAAACTTACGCTTAACACTGACAAAACCTACTATATTATGTTTCGTAGCAGAACAGGAGATGCACAAATTAACATTAAGATTGACAACACTCTAATTACCAGAAATAATGGGGGCAAATTCCTAGGCTTATACCTTGACAACAACCTGAATTTCAGCACCCATATCCAACACATAACCAAAAAAGTATCCAAAACGGTTGGGATCCTCTCCAAGATACGATACTACGTGCCGCAAAATGCCCTTCTCACACTATACCACTCACTTATCTATTCATACCTCACCTATGCTATTTGTGCTTGGGGATCAACTGCAGCAACACACCTAAAGCCAATAATAACCCAACAAAAAGCTGCAGTAAGAATAATCACTAAATCCCATCCCTGGCAACACACCCCCCCCACTCTTCATAGACCTAAACTTACTCCCTGTTCAGTACATCCACACTTACTACTGTGCAATCTACATCTACAGGGCCTTACACTCTAATATCAACCTTGACCTAAAACGCTTTCTTGATAGTTGTGACAGAACCCACAGGCATAACACCAGACACAAACATCTCTACGACATTCCCCGTGTCCGACTAAACCTTTACAAAAATTCAATGTATGTCAAATGCCCTAAAATCTGGAATACCCTACCTGAGAACTCTAGAACTGCAGACACATTCATCACCTTCAAAACTACCATTAGAAAACATCTTATCTCCCTGATACACCTCGTCAACTAACTACACGAATACCACCTGGTGGTTCACACTTACACTCACTCACTCATTTGACCATAAACAGAAATATTAATCTCAATCTTAAAATAATGAATCCTGTGATACTCCAATACTGAAACTATGTACTGTGCCAAAACAAAAGCATTCACATTGCTAAACTCACAAACTAGTATTTAGTCACTTAGCCATAATACCAACTTACCTCATAATTTGTAATATTTTACAATTAAGAATAAAACTAAGTCTGCCCGAAATGCCTAGCCATGCTAAGCGTTCTAGTGGTACACTCTGTAATCACTATTTTACTACATGTAAACCACACAATAACCAAATTTCTGTAAACTCAGCATTGTAATCCTTATTGAGAATAAACTTTGAATTTGAATTTGAATTTGAAAAAAAGTTCAAAAGTAAACAAATCATGCCAAGCGTCCAATACACATCAACTGGTGAGTAATATTCTTTCACAAGTGCGCCGATATTATTTATACCATTTCTAGACTAATGCAGTAGTCTGCATAACAGTAAATCTTATTATTTTTGTGAGAATAAAAATCAAAGTGGAAAGCAAAAGAAATGTAAGAGGGGCGTGGGGACGTGACTAATGAACAGAGGAAATGTTAATTTAATGCTAGGAATGTCTTTCTTGTTTATTCTGGACCCTATTTGGAAATTGGCATCTTTTGAAATTTGTGTGAAATTGGCAAAATTGCTAAATTCTGACCACTTTATTGGATAGTTGAAATCGGTAAATGGGTGGTTTCTTGTACTCATTCAATAGAAAAAACAGAGTTCTAGTGAAATAGTTATGATTTTTGTCGACTAGTACACTGGAATTGGCCGAAAATAGAGCTCAAAGTGGGCAAAATCGCTGATGCATAAACATCGTCGAGACCACTAACTTCGCGAGAGCATAATTCCCAAGTTTTCCATCAAATTTTATACTTTTGGTGTCATTATGATCGGGAAAAGATTCTCTATATTTTCATAATAAAAAATAATTTTTTTCTTTTTGAAATTCTGGCGACCCTGAGAACAAGTCTCTGAGAGGGCCTGGTGACCCTCAAAGGGTGAATGATATATGAACATATCATACCATTGTACTGACATGCCATTAACAATATATTCTCCCATTTATTACCACACCTACAACTCTTATGGGCTGGCTGTCTGTTTCTGCTGCTTTTTAACCCTTTCATTGTTGGTCCCATTGTATCACGGGTTTGAAGCCAGTGTTGGTCCAGTAGTATGACGCTATGACTTCAGGTTTGTTTGCAATCGAGTCATTATGGTTTCACAAGTCACTCAGATAAGCTGTGAGCGGTAAATTTGGCCTAGATGTGAGAGAATAGGTCTATACGGTAAGTGTACATTACAAGAAAAAAAAATCCTGCAGCATGCAGTGCATGAAAAAAAAACTGCAACCATATTTCTGGCTTAAAACAGCGACTTTGTGGTGCATTTTCATGTGGTTTTTATGGTTGTATTCTCAGTTTCTTGGTCTCTTGAAAGAATGGAAGATATATTATAGAGAGATGATTTTGATTAGTTTCATGACAAAGCTTGAAACTGAGCTCAAAGTAGCGGAAATGTTCGATTTTTGCTGATATTCCAGATTACACAAATGACATCACTTGTCCAATACATATCCAAGTGGCCAGTGTAAAACACATTTAGGAAGGCATTGACATTATTTATACAATTATTAAAGAGCAAGCATAATATAAGAGGGGGCAAGCATAATATAAGAGGGAGCAAGCATAATATAAGAGGGAGCAAGCATAATATAAGAGGGAGCAAGCATAATATAAGAGGGAGCAAGCATAATATAAGAGGGAGCAAGCATAATATAAGAGGGAGCAAGCATAATATGAGGGGGCAAGCATAATATAAGAGGGAGCAAGCATAATATAAGAGGGAGCAAGCATAATATAAGAGGGAGCAAGCATAATATAAGAGGGAGCAAGCATAATACAAGAGGGGCCTGGAGACGTGAATAAGGAACAGAGGAAATGGTTATTTAGTGCCAGGAATGTCGACACTGTTTACTCTGGACCCTATTTTCAAATTGTCAACTGTTGAATTTTGTATGAAATTAGCCACATTACCGATTTCTGATCACTTTAGTGGATAGTTGAAATAGGTAAATGGTCAGTTTCTTGTACTTAATCAATAGAGTAGAAGGAATACTAGTGAAATAGCTATGAAATCACAGTACAGGCAGGGGCTGAACTTGCGGCGAGTCGTAAAATTCCAGATCGACACTTTAGATAACGCGTTGGTCTGGAATTTTACGACTCACTCACCACGAGTTCACTCCCACCCATACCATGGTTTGTTTGCAATCGTGTCATTACGATTTCCTGAGTCGAAATAGCCACGAGTTTGGTGAGCTGGAACAATGGAATTGGTCAAAAATAGAGCACAAAGTGGGCGAATTTGCCAATGCATAAATATCGCAGAGACCGCTAACTTTGCGAGAGTGTAATTCCGTAAGTTTTCAATCAAATTTCATACCTTTGGTTTCATTACCTTCAGAAAAAGATTCTCTATCATTTCATAAAAAAATTTTTTTTAAATTCTTCAACACTAAGAGTAAGTTTGAGAGCAGAGGTCTCGACAGTGGAAAGGTTAAAATACTTCCTTGACCCTTTGGCACCTGGCATCTGACAGCTAGTCAGACTGGATGGACTTAAGATGGCTTTCTTCCTGCGTGGGATCAATCTCTATCTCTATCTTTATCTATTGCTATCTCTATCGCTATATTGATATCTCTATCGCTATATTGATATCTCTATCGCTATCTCTATCTGTCGCTATCTCTATCTCTATCCATCTCTATCTCTATATCTCTATCTCTATCTATCTCTATATCTCATCTCTATATCTCTATCTCTATCTATCTCTATCTATCTCTATCTCTATCTCTATCTCTATCTCTATATCTATCTCTATATCTATCTCTATATCTATATCTATCTCTATATCTATCTCTATATCTATCTCTATATCTATCTCTATATCTATCTCTATATCTATCTCTATCTCTCTCTCTATCTCACACACACACAAACACCCTCTCACACACACCCTCCTGGGCTGACCTACATTTCATGCCAGGTCACAGAATGGAGAAGATCCAGGCCAGGACCTGTCCTGGCAAACCTAACTATACTTTCATTTCTATTCCACTACTGCAAGCTCTTGACAATGTGTTGACTGCAACACGAAAAGCCTAGAGCTGTCATTCAACTCCCACACCCTATGGCTGCTTTACATCTGTTGTTGTTCAGCTGCGATTATTACACATTTTTTGTGTGTATAATTATCCACTAAAACAGTTTTACAGAGTAATTAAGTGTCTTGTAACCATTGCAGAGCATGATAAAACATGTTTGTCAATGTAACTCACTTCTTTGCCTAATTAAAAAAATCTTTATTATGAGAAAACCCTTGGTCTTGATTATTTTGAATTAATGAAGTGCAACTGTACAGTATTTATAAAATCAATAAATGCCTATAATAAACATTTATGGAGAATGCAAGCATAAAATACAACATGAAAATATAAAATTTATTACAAGTATTTTCTATAAGAAAAATATCACTGGAACATACAAGCTGCCGCCGAGTCTTTTGAGTTTCATTCCTTTTCGCACTTGGAAGCTACCACTGCGAGTCGGGCTGAGAGGCATTCCCTTGGAACGACCACGGATTTTGGGGATGGTTACAACTCCACTTCTACTACAGGGGACCTGTACTGGAACAAGTGGGATAGTTGGCATCATGTCTGGTCCCAGTATTCCTCTACTGATTGATGAGCCAGCATCACTAGATGGAGTGGATGATGATGATAATGTAGTTCTGGAGGCAGTGGAGAATGCTATGGTGGTGTGTGTAGATACGGAGGATGAAGACGACAATAATGAAGGAGTGTGTGATGCTCTCTGTTGAGCTGCTGTTGCTTTTGAGATAGTTATTGAAGAGCTGGATGGCAAGGTGGCAAGAGGGGTTACAAGAAGAGGTTTGTCTACATCCATCTTCTCTTCAACTTCACCTCCTATGTTAGAGGACACTGTTGATGTAGAACCTGCAACAATAAGCAAAGAAAAATTACACCAACATTAAAAAAAAAAAAAAAAAAAAAAAACTACTGGAGGTTCACTTAACTTCCCACCCTATAAATATTTTTTAAACTCTTGAAGGTTTTCAAATAGAAGTTCCAAGTGCTGTGATCCCCAGAACCATAACCAAGTAGTCAAAATTTAAACTAAATGCAGACAATAAGATAATGATAAAATCCAGCAAGTGTATAATCAAAAGCTCTAATCTCCTGAGAGCATTATTTCCTGCAAACTTGCTCTTTCTCATTCTTGCATTAACAAAAATATGAACCACTACACAATATCAACATTTCCAAACAATACCAAAGTCAAAATGAAAACTGCATTAGTGAAGATGTTGAACAACCTTCAATATAGTAATAATATATCTCTGTAGGCACTGAAAATAACATGATGCTCACTGTGAAAAACCACCAGTCCCCAGTTTGCACAGTGCTATAATTTTCTATATATTGTATCACAAAATATATGTTATCACCACATATGTACTAAATATTATATTCCACTAATATTATATTCCACTAATATTATATTCCACTAATAAATAGTGGAAACAAAAGAACAGAGCAGCAACCATACCACATTTAAAAATGTGCTTCTCATCCAATCAGTAAAGTTTAGCTAAGTTGGGTCAAGCTAGTATTTTGAGGGATGATCTCCTGGAAACACCAAATGCTGCTGTCATTATTTTCTGTTAACAGGTTAGTAGCAACCATCCAGGATGCCACTGCTATATGGGTATGAAATGAAAGTTTGTTAATATTTTCTTTCCATCTGAGAAGGCCTGGTTTAAGACTGAGCAGTGGGGACTATGATTGCCAAAACCATTAAAATATGAAACATGAAGCACTCTGTACTAACGTTAGACTTGTTGGCATGATCAAGCGGGGCAAAATACAACAATCTTCCTCTTTGTCTCCTTACATTTTTTATGAAGATTTCTCATGGACTTTCAATATGAATGTTAGATCAGATACAGCAGTTGGCTACTTAGTAAGGCAAAAAATTTGATTGGGCTGAGGTGATACTTGGAGGAAAGAAAGGTGTACAGTATGACTGTCTTCCTCCTCTCATGAAGTAATACTGCTCTTCTCAGCTTTTGCACTGCATCATTGTTGTATCACTCAGTGGCCTTTAGCAACTTACTTCAGATGAGGTAAAATGGAGGAAGATGCACGAGGTAGATGGCAGAATGAATGGGGGGGGGGGTAAAGCAGCTAGGATAGACAGGATTAAAACAAACAGTAAAAGCAGATAGGGATATAATTTTGGAGTGACTGGTGCAGTTGTTCGATATGCACACAAAAGGAGGAAAGGTACCCAGGGACTGGCAGACAGAATGCATAAATCCTTTGTATAGGATAAATGGGATAAATGTGTAATAATTATGTATAGGGAAAAAGGCCAATAGTGTGTATGGGGTAAAGCTTATAGTAGAGAGGCATCACTGAAAGAATTATGGGTAAGACAAAGTAGGATTGCAGAGGAACAAGTAAGTTTTAGGAAGGGTAGGGTGTGTGTAGACCAAATGTTTACATTCAGGCTCATAGGTAAACAGTACTTAGATAAAGGAAAGGAATTTTTCATTGCATTTATTAATCTAGGTAAAGCATAGGTTAGGATGGACAGCGAAGCATTGCAGTATATGTTGCAAATGTATGGAATAAGTGGTAGGTTACTTAATGCATAAAAGTGCATTTATGTGGATAATGTAATGTCACCATTGTTGTTTAACCCTTTCAATGTCTCTTATATATATCTTTGTTAATGACACCACTTATATAGGTCTATGCATAAATTCTAGCAGCCTCAAATTTGGAGCAAAGGACCTGAAGGACTATATATGATAGAACAGGTCTGTTAAGTCATTGTGAGCAATATACAAAAAATCTGGACTGCCAGGGCACAGTAGGAATGGGATCTCAGCATACCACTGTTCACCATGCCATGTTGATGCAGAGGCGTGAGCTCACTCCCAGGTGAATTCAATGAGTATTATTCCCCAGGGACAAAAATAAATGAGGATTACAGAACCCAGAATTGGTTTTGAACATTTAGCAGAGGATATTGACTCTCAGGTTGCCAGAAATGGTGCTGAAAGCCCCAATGACCCACAGCCTCCATGTCTGGGGTTTATGGAAAAACGTATAAAAGGCAAAGAAGTCAGGAAAACAAGTAGTTGAGATGAAGAGCCAGAAACGAGTATGCATGGATAAGGAGAGAGGTTTAACAGTAATCTGAGACCGACATATCATCGAAAGTCAAATCTGTATATTCTTCTGTGTTCAATATATTTCATCTTTTTATTTTTAAAGGTTTTCTCAGCAGGACATATTTTATACAGACCTTGTATGCTTCTGTAATTGGCTTTTCAAAGTACTGGTGAGAGGCTTGGGGTGTTCATTACTAATTCCCAGGGAATGCCTGATACTTCTTCATTTAGTTTGTCCCAGGCAATCCTCTGATTGTTAAACTAAATTTACTGAACATCCCTTCTTATACACTATTTCTGGAAGTCCTCTCCCTAGTTTATGTTCATATAAACTTTTATGATAATGTAGTCGAAGTAAACTGCACCTATGATGTGTGAATAAACAGTATCTGATGTTGTGATCAAAGTATAGTGGACCCCCGGATTACAAAAATAATCCGTTCCAGAGAGAGTGACTTATCCCGAATCTGGCTTATTCCAAATTAATTTTCCCACAAGAAATAATGGAAATCCAATTAATCCGTTTCAGACACCCAAAAGTATTAAAAAAAGAAATATACATTTACCTACACAGAAAACAATGATACATGAAGAATAAAACAATAATATCATACTTACCTTTATTGAAGACATGGTTATGTATGGAAGACGGGAGGAGGGGAGAGGACGAAGGAGTTTACAACTGTTTGGAAGGGGAATCCCCTTCCATAAAGACTTCAGGTACCAAGTCCTTATCCTGGGTTACTTCCCTCTTTGTTTTTTAATGCCACTAGGACCAGCCTGAGAGTCACTGGACCCCTATTGCTCAAAAAAGTTTTCCGGAGAGGTCTGTTTCTGGCATATGTTAAGAATTGTGTTGGGAGACAGGACAAGATAGTCCTTCAATATGACACTAATATCAGCTCTATGGCTTATTTATCTAGCACAATTCATCTGACATAATAAACAATATTAATAACATAGAAACATGATATATACTCTAGAGTGAATAAAATATGGTATTAAGAATGTCACCAGTGGTGGTGTGTTGTTTGTTGTTGGGTGTACAAGGGTCACTGAACCTTACATAGTGGTGGTGATGGCAGCAGCAGAGGCGGCAGTGTTGGTCAGTAGCCTATATACCTCCAACAACAATGGACGAGTCAGTTTCATACTGTCTTTATCCTATTGATTAATCGCCTAACCCGTTAACTGTCCAAACGTAGATCTACGTTCTTACCACTACCGCTTCAAACGTAGATCTACGTTTTATTTTTCCTGCCTCCAAATTTGGCATGATTGGCCTAAGATGCCTGGTCAGCATAGAATGGGTCTTAACCCTCTGTGTGTGCACTATTAAAAAAATCTGGGCCCTCTTAGTACCTTGTGGGGGCACCAGTTCAACTGAGTGCCATCTAGAGCAAACAGTGCGGCAAACACCAAGGATTCTCTGATGTCATGTCATATTAACACAATCTTTTCAAGAGGAAAGTGTCATCCTGCTAGAATGTCCTATAACGTATGCCCTAAGTAAAAAGAAACAATTCTGGAACTGTAATTTCGGCAGGCTGGCTGGCCGCCTGGATGGCCAGCAGCTGGCTGGCCAGCTGGCCGTCTCTATCTCTGACTGTCTGTATCTCTATCTCTGTATCTATCTCACAGGAACACATAGGTAAATACAATTACACAGTGTAAATTACCTAGGATAACCCAAAAAATCCAGACAAACTGCCATACTGTGCTTGTAGATAGTGATCGTTTGTAATATCAGTTGGCTCATGAGCAACTCTGAGACAAGCAGACAAACACACAGGCAGACAGAAAGACACACACACACAGAGAGCTAGACAGAGACATGTTTATGTGAAACAGTGAAAACAAATAAAGGGAAGGCTCATCAAATGTCATCACTGTCATTAGTGGGGTGATAAGACCACCCTCATCAAATGTCACCATTATCAGCAGTGGAGTGGTAAGATAAGACGAGTGACACACTCTTACACGATGCTTCAAGGGAAATTATTATATTATTATTATTATTATTATTATTATTTTCACTATATACTACTCCCATATCCAAAACATTGCTGGGACCTATAAATACTATGCATATATTTCTAGACAATAGTATGTGACTAAGGTAGGTGAAAATGCTCCCTTGTCACTGTGTTTGCGACTATTTGAGTACTATTTCAGAACTTAATACACGTATTAGTGTCAGAACAAAGACTGGCTATCAAATCACAAGAACTACTATAAATAGTAATTATCAGAACAAAAATTATATAAAATAAAATGAAAGCGAGAAAAAAAAGGTATATCGGCAACACTTTTGCAAGCGGCAGGACTCCATATTGCCGTCAGATGAACATCAAGGGCCAACTTCGCAGGCTCATATCTCAGTGAGTACTAACCCTAAAAAATTTTATCCTATGACACGCAGAAAATATAAAAAAGCTATTTTTTTTTTTCCAAAATATTCGGAGCCCTGGGCGAGAGAGAACGTAGATCTACGCTTGAACAGTTAACGGGTTAACTTACTTGCCACACTGTTAATGCTACACTTTATCACTGGCTGGCACTATAGCCCTTATAGACTCCTGCTGCTTTAGTATCGTACATATTGTAGAATCACTGAAAAACGCACATTCTTCCCTCTCTCTCAGCCCTTTACCAAAGAGCTGGCTGGCACTAGAAGTGTTCTTTGGGCCCATGGTGGCTTATTTAGCAGTTACAAGCACTAAAAGGAATGGAATAATACAAAATGTATTGTATGAATGTGTGGGATCATCCTCACTGGCTGGTAAACAATGGCACACTGGGCCTCTCAGGCCCAAACACGAATGACTTATACCAAGTTCAGTGATGTTCACCGAGCCAATATTTTGATGCAAAAACATTACTTATTCCAATTATTACTTATTCTGATGACATCTTAATCAGGGGGTCCACTGCAAATGGTATCTGTGTTGTGAGCAAAGTAAACAGTATCTGTGATGTGATCTAAACGGTATCTTTTTTTTTTTACACATCAATTTTACAGGCTAATAGCTGTTATCCTACCTCAGCTCATTTCAAAGCCCAGCCCTATCTGAGGTATACTACCACCCCCCAGGATGCCACCCACACCAGTCGACTTACACCAAGGTATCTACTTACTGCTAGGTGAACAGAGACAGCAGGTGCAAGGAAACATGCCCAACATTTCTACCCAGCCGAGAATCAAAAAACAAACAAACAATACCACAACATCTGTGATGCAATCAAAGTAAACTGTGTCTGAGATGTTATGATCGAAGTACGTAAACTGTATCCGTCATGTTGTCATCAAAGTAAATGTTATCTGTGATAGTCACTGTTGTCTCTGATTAGCTCTTGTTCGTGAAGATCAAATCTAGAGTACTTTCCGTTCCAGTGGTTTCTCTTATTGTCTGGTGCTTGCCAGGTCAACCAGGCTGTTGGCTGCTGGAGGCCTGCTGCCCCACATATCCATCACTGCCTGGTTGATCTGGCACCTGGTGAAGATACTTGACCAGTTTTCTCTTAAAAACTTCTACACTTGTTCCAGCTGTGTTTCTGATATCTTCTTTTAAGATGTTGAATAGCCTGGGGCAATGAATGTTGATAGTGTTCCCTTATTGTGCCCACTACATCCCTGTTCTTCACTGGGTTTATTTTGCACTTTTTCCCATATCTCTCCCTCCAGTTTGTTATGGTATTTATTTTTTTTAATCGAGACTTTTTAAATTGTGTAAAATTGGCCAAATTATCAACTTTTGCTTTTTATAAGGTAGTTCTGATAGTTGAATGGGCCTTTTTTTTCTTCCTCATTCGATTGAACGGAAGCCATGCTATGTAAACCAGTGTCAGCAACAAACTTGTCACAAAGCCCCATTACCTCTCTGGTATACGTATATCTATTGAGCTAGAGTGCTTCTCAGAATTATTTCTAGTACGACACTGTAATTTACCATATTCCAGTTCAAATCTAGGAAGTTGAAATCTCCAAGGAATATAATATTTAGCATGGGATTTACAAGGTTTTTAAACCATCTTTCTTACTTTACTTATCTGTTCCGAGAACTCTTCAGTTGTTGCTGACACTGGTTTACATAGCATGGCTTTCGTTCAATCGAATGAGGAAGAAAAAAAGGCCCATTCAACTATCAGAACTACCTTATAAAGAGCAAAAGTTGATAATTTGGCCAATTTTACACAATTTAAAAAATCTCAATTAAAAAAAATAAAAAATACCATAACAAACTGGAAGGAGAGATATGGAAAAAAGTGCAAAATAAACCCAGTGAAGAACAGGGATGTAGTGGGCACAATAAGGGAACACTGTATCAACATTCATGGCCCCAGGCTATTCAACATCTTAAAAGAAGATATCAGAAACACAGCTGGAACAAGTGTAGAAGTTTTTAAAAGAAAACTGGACAAGTATCTTCACCAGGTGCCAGATCAACCAGGCACTGATGGATATGTGGGGCAGCAGGCCTCCAGCAGCCAACAGCCTGGTTGACCTGGTAAGCACCAGACGAGCCTGGCCAATGGCCAGACTCGGTGACAAGACTCTCAAAACTCATCAAAGGTACATCAAAGGTACTATATGCATTCCAGTCACATAAGCAACTTATCCTCTGCTCATTCATCATGTCCCCAGGCCTCTCCTCTACAACACTTGCCTTTCACTTTTAAGCCATCTCAAAAAAATCAGTTTTACCTTATTTCTCGGATAATAAAATATAACTAAGAATGACTGATCATGATTCACATCTAGTAAAAACTTATAAAACAGACCAGGAGATAGAAAGGCCCCTTCCTTTCCTTAGGAATATTGCCAAACATCTAATATTTCTGCAACTTTGAGAAAAATCATTCTATCATTAGGAAGCCCCACTGACTGACACGAAGAAGCATTTAAAAAAAAAAACTCCAAAACCCCTCAAAGTAGCTATTTTAAACAAAACTATGTCACAGGTTTGCTCTTCCACCATGCACCATGTGACTTGGAGGGTGTTAAAATCTGTAGTGGAAGGAAGGTGAGGTAGGAGTCAGCCTAGGTAAGCTTGGAGGGAGGAGGTAAAGGACTTCCAGCAAGCAGGCATGTGCACGTTCGATAGGAACAAGTGGAGACAAATGTTTTTGACGACTTGACGTGCTGTTGGAGTGTAAGCCAAGTAATATTTATGAAGGGATTCAGGATGTGAGTCCTGGAGGCAGGAAGTACAGTGCCTGCACTCTGAAGGAGAGGAGGTGATATGTTAGTTTTTAACTGTAGTGTAGGCACACCTCTGGCAAAAGGGGAGTGGCAATGAAAGTGTTTCTTCTTGTTTTGAGACAAGGCCGATGTGGTAATAAAAAAATAAATGTACAGTAAGAGTGTACGAGTGAGAGAGAGTGAGAGTGCATGCACTTGCCTATTTGTGCACACCTATTTGTACTCACCTATTTGTGGCTGCAGGGGTCAAGTCTCAGCTCCTGGCCCTGCCTCTTAACTGATCGCTACTAGGTCCTCTCTCTCCCTACTCCATGGGCTTTATCAAACCATTTTTAAAGTATGTATGGAGAGAGAGAGAGAGAGAGAGAGAGAGAGAGAGAGAGAGCGAGAGAGAGAGCGAGAGAGAGAGAGAGAGAGAGAGAGAGAGAGAGAGAGCGAGGAAGAGAGGAGAGAGAGGAGAGCGAGAGCGAGAGAGAGAGCGAGAGAGAGCAGAGAGAGAGCGAGAGAGAGCAGAGAGAGAGAGAGAGAGAGAGCAGAGAGAGAGCGAGAGAGAGAGAGAGAGCGAGAGAGAGAGAGAGCGAGAGAGAGAGCGAGAGAGAGAGAGAGCGAGAGCAGAGAGAGACGAGAGCGAGAGCGAGAAGAGAGCGAGAGCGAGAGAAGCGAGAGAGAGCGAGAGCGAGAGCGAGAGAGAGCGAGAGAGAGCGAGAGAGAGCGAGAGAGAGAGAGCGAGAGAGAGAGCGAGGAGAGAGAGCGAGAGAGAGAGCGAGAGAGAGAGCGAGAGAGAGAGCGAGAGAGAGAGAGAGCGAGAGAGAGAGCGAGCGAGAGAGCGAGAGAGCGAGCGAGCGAGAGAGCGAGCGAGCGATAGAGCGAGTGTGTGTGTGTGTGTGTGTGTACTCACCTATTTGTGGTTGCAGGGGTCGAGTCATAGCTCCTGGCCCCGCCTCTTCACTGATTGCTACTAGGTCCTCTCCCTGCCCCATGAGCTTTATCATACCTTGCCTTAAAACTATGTATGGTTCCAGCCTCCACTACTTCACTTTCTAGGCCATTCCATAGCCTGACCACTCTATGACTGAAGAAATACTTTCTAACATCCCTTTGATTCATCTGAGTCTTCAACTTCCAATTGTGACCTCTTGTGTCTGTGTCCCATCTCTGGAACATCCCGTCTTTGTCCACCTTGTCTATTCCGCGCAGTATTTTATATGTCGTTATCATGTCTCCCCTGACCCTCCTGGCCTCCAGTGTCGTCAGGCCGATTTCCCTCAACCTTTCTTCGTAGGACAATCCCCGTAGCTCTGGGACTAGTCTTGTTGCAAACCTTTGCACCTTCTCTAATTTCTTGACGTGCTTGACTAGGTGTGGATTCCAAACTGGTGCTGCATACTCCAGTATGGGCCTGACGTAAATGGTATACAGAGTCTTGAACGAATCCTTGCTGAGGTATCGGAACGCTATCCGTAGGTTTGCCAGGCGCCCGTATGCTGCAGCAGTTATCTGATTGATGTGCGCCTCAGGAGATATGCTCGGTGTTATACTCACCCCCAGATCTTTTTCCTTGAGTGAAGTTTGCAGTCTTTGGCCATCTAAACTATATTGTGTCTGCAGTCTTCTTTGCCCTTCCCCAATCTTCATGACTTTGCATTTGGCAGGGTTAAACTCAAGGAGCCAGTTATTGGACCAGGCTTGTAGCCTGTCCAGGTCTCTTTGTAGTCCTTCCTGATCCTCATCCGATTTGATTCTTCTCATTAACTTCACATCATCTGCAAACAAGGACACTTCTGAGTCTATCCCTTCCGTTATGTCGTTCACATATACCAAGAACAGCACAGGTCCTAGGACTGATCCCTGTGGAACCCCGCTTGTCACAGGCGCCCACTCTGACACCTCGTCACGTACCATGACTCGTTGTTGCCTCCCTGTCAGGTATTCTCTGATCCATTGCAGTGCCTTTCCTGTTATGTGTGCCTGATCCTCTAGCTTTTGCAGTAACCTCTCGTGAGGAACTGTGTCAAAGGCCTTCTTGCAGTCCAAAAATATGCAGTCGATCCACCCCTCTCTCTCTTGTCTTACTTCTGTCACCTTGTCATAAAACTCTAGTAGATTTGTGACACAGGATTTTCCTTCCCTGAAACCATGCTGGTTGTCAATTATACACTTGTTTCTTTCCAGGTGCTCCACCACTCTCCTCCTGATGATCTTCTCCATGACCTTGCATACTATACATGTTAGTGATACAGGTCTGTAGTTTAGTGCCTCATGTCTGTCTCCCTTTTTAAAAATTGGGACTACATTTGCCATCTTCCATACCTCGGGGAGTTGCCCAGTTTCAACTGATGTGCTGAAGATCTTTGTTAATGGTACACACAATATCTCTGCTCCCTCTTTAAGGACCCACGGAGAGATGTTGTCTGGTCCCACCGCCTTTGAGGTGTCAAGTTCGCACAGCAGCTTCTTCACCTCCTCCTTGGTTATATGTATTTCATCCAGCACTTGCTGGTGCCTCCCCCTGTTCTGATTTCCTGGAGTCCTACTGGTTTCCACTGTAAATACGTCTTTAAATCTCGTGTTGAGCTCCTGACATACCTCCTGGTCGTTTCTTGTGAATTCCCCATCACCCTTCCTCAGTCTGATTACCTGGTCCT